TGGGCCTCCAGGAATGTACCGTGATGCCGCTCGCAGGTTGAAAGCGCGGCAGGACCGGCAGGACGAAGGTGTCGCGACACCCCCGGCCACTCGGCCCCGCTCCGCCTGCTCCGCCCTGTGTTGCTCTGCTGTCCGACTTCCAGCCGAGCCACGCCGAGGCCGCTCAGCGCCACTGCTCGCTAGCGCGCTGGCCCTGCGCTGGCCCCCGGGGACGGGAACGGGGCAGCCTGAACCATGGGGCGGCTCGGTCGGTCCCTTCACCCTTGGGCCCTTCCCCCGAAGGGCATCGCCGGGGCTCAGGCCCAATAATTCTTTGGCTTCTCAATAAAAATATATTAAGCCCATAGCAGAAAGCTGGCCCTCCAGCCAGCGGGGTGCAGGGAGGGTAAACGCCGGGCGGCCATCGCAAGGCCCCATCGCAGCCCCTATCGCCGGGGCCTATCGCATGCCGGCCGCGGAATAGCGCCAAATGTATGGGCTCTATTAGGCGGAGATGGACAAGGCTGGACGGCGGCGGTGCACAGTGGACCAGAAGACCGGTGGAGGCGGGCAAAACTCTCGACGAGTTTTGAGCTCCAGAGTCGCTAAATGGGACTCGAACCGAGCGTGTGACCCCACCAATGGATTGCTCTCCGAACGAGCAATCCATTGGTGGGGTCACACGCTCGGTTCGAGTCCCATTTAGCGACTCTGGAGCTCAAAACTCGTCGAGAGTTTTGCCCGCCTCCACCGGTCTTCTGGCCCACTGTGCGGTGGACAGAGGTAGTGGTGACGCCATGCAAGCCTCATGAGGCCCCTCTCCACGACTCTGCGCATCGCCAGTGGCAACGCGGCAGCCGATGATCCAGTTAGACGCGCAACAACAAGCCGTGTTCGGCTTGCCGTGGCGCCTCGAGTCGATACGCCTGGCGGCGGGCAAGAAAATACCCTGCATTTTTATGAAGTCAGATCGATCGCGGTGCATAGGTCGGGCACTCACTCCGTCGCCCTCTGCGCGCCCCGCCCGCCCTGGAGGAGTGGCTCCCGACCATCGCGCCGACTCGCTGCTTGGAGTAACAACTTTATGGAAGTCAACAATAGAGGGTAACTCTAGATAAACTGAATATCGCTCTGCTGATTTATTGTTGTGACTTCTTTTTTTTTTGGCGCGTGTCCTGCGGGAACGCGGTGTAGTGCGCCCGCACGCAGACCCGTTTTGTTCCGTTTAATTCAGCGGGTGCCTGGAGGGAGCTTTCATCTGCAGGTCCGGGGGTTTGTTTTTCGTGATGTGGAGGCGGCCGCCCACCAAGAAGCGCGCCACCTTTGGTCCTTTGCTGCTGGCGGTATTAATTACTGCTGGCCAGCCCTTTCCTCGCTGCCCGGCCCAGCCTGTGCTGCTGCACCGCAAGCTCCCCTTCTCGGGGGAAATAAAACGAACATCTCGGCTGTCCCCGGCCGGGGCCGCGGCACAGTGGGCCAGAAGACCGGTGTAGGCGGCCAAAACTCTGGACGCGTTTTGGGCTCCAGAGTCGCTAAATGGGACTCAAACCGAACGTGTGACCCCACCAATGGATTGCTCTCCGGACGAGGAATCCATTGGTGGGGTCACACGTTCGGTTCGAGTTCCGTTTGGTGTCTCTGGAGCTCAAAACGCGTCTAGAGTTTTGGCCGCCTCCACCGGTCTTCTGGCCCACTGTGCGCGGCCGGGGCCCTGGTCTGCTCGTGCCGCGGCCAGCCCCGCCCCGCGCCCTGCAAAACGTATCGCCGCCCGGCCGGCCAGCGCCGTCCCATGATTATTTTTCATTGTTCATTCCGGCCCTTTGCTGACCGTGGAGGCCTTGGAGGCCCTGGTGGAGGCGTGGCGGCGGGGCCCGTCCCGCCCGTCAGATCTAATTATACGCGCTGTATATAGGGCGACCGGTGCGTCCCTTTCCGAATTCCCTTTGAAAGGGAGTGGGGCGTGGGAACGCAACCAGCAAGGCGCCGGCAACGCGTCGCAGGCAGCCAGCCCTCCCGGCACGGCGTCGGTCTCAACGTGCCAATCAGTCCCACCCTGTCAGCGCAGCTGTGTCAGCGCAGCCGTGTCAGCGCAGCCCTGTCAGCGCAGCCGTGTCAGCGCAGTCGTGTCAGCGCAGCCGTGTCAGCGCAGCCGTGTCAGCGCAGCCGTGTCAGCGCAGCCGTGTCATCTCAGCAGTGTCAGCGCAGCCGTGTCATCTCAGCCGTGTCAGCGCAGCAGTGTCAGCGTATAGCCGTGTCATCTCATAGCCGTGTCAGCGCAGCCGTGTCAGCGCAGAGCCGTGTCAGCGCAGCCGTGGCAGCGCAGCCATGTCAGCGCAGCCGTGTCAGCTCGTGGCAGCTCTATTGTCAGCTCCAGAGCCAGCATCGGCCGCTCAGTCCGTATAAAAAGTATGCTAATCGGCGAATAACGCTGAATTTGGGTCGCGGTGCTCGCTTCGCTCCGGCTTGCTTCTCCCCTCCCTTCGCCCTCGCTCTCCTCGGGCGTGTTCATCCTAGCTCCGTCGCTCCTTGGCGTTCCGAAAGCCGCGGGGACCGGGGGAAAGGGGGGGGGAGGGAAGAAAGGAGAAAGGGAGAGAGGTGAATTTTTACGCCCCGGCGCTGTCTTAGGTCGGAATTGGCTCTGCGCTCTGTGCGACGGGCGGGGCGGGGCGGGGCGCGGCGGGGCGGGGCGGGGCGGGGCGGCCCAGGAATGTGGCTGCGGAAGGTGGAATGCGGAGGAGATGGCCGAGGCCGGCGTCGTCGTGGCGTCGTGGTTCTGGCCGTGGTGGCGCGTCGAGCGTACCTGCGGCTATGGATGGCCTGGATGGCCTGGCGGCAAGAGGGCTGTTTACATTTCGCGAGCGTTCGGCTGCTGTTCGGCCACTTGCAGTGCAGGCCCGGGCAGCGAAAGAGGAAAAGTCGGCGCCCCGAACGGTTGGAATGAAATTCTTTGGCCAGAATTAGGCTGCCATTGCTATGCAGCGCTGGCGCCCAGGGAATGCATTGCCGGCCATTCGCGTCCATCGGCATGCAGTCCATGCGGTCTCCGACCGGCCGGCCGGGCCAGGGAGAGGCGGGTAGAGGACAGGCCTGAGAATCGCCGCGACAGCCAGTGGCACTTTTTCCTCTTGGTATGTGGCGCGTCTTGGACGCGGTGTGCAAAGCAGTGCGCCTGAAAGCCACGAAAAGCGCACTTGTGAAGGATTCCAGGAGGTGCACTAGCTGAAGCTGAACCTCGTGTGCAATGACGCGGTTTGGCTGGCCCCAGTTGACAAAGAGGCATTTTTTTTAAGAAGTCCGATCGTGGAACACGACCGATGCCGATTTCCTCCACTTTTTGGTCAAAGGTAGTCCTTGTGGGTCTAAGAAAGGCCACAAATTTTTTGGGCCGAAATATGCACCGTTCAGATTCTATGGGCAATTTTCGTTTTCTCTGACAACTTTTCACATAATATGGCCAAAATTGAAAAATCACCTTTCTGAGGCCTCTATGCACTCGATTGAGCTCAATATGTGGTATCTTATGTAAAATCACGCGAGGAACACGAATCCGGTGCCCGTTTGTTGATAGGACAACCCAAACAGATGTTATGACTGTTTTTCAGGTTTTGTAGTGGTTTTTACTTTTCTTGGGGTTTTGGTGTTCGGCATCGATTTTCGCCAATCCGATGAGTGGATTTTATAGATAAAGGACCAATCTATCATACTACGAGATAAAAAGTTTGTGTACGCCGCGTGAAAAGCAGTGGCGCTGCAAAAGTTGAAAAACCGTCATTTCTGGGTAGTTTTAGATCAGATAAGCCACCTTTCGCGTGACCGTCTCCGCCCCATATTCAGTCTAAATATTGTCCCAAGTGATGTCAGAGTTGGTGTGAAATTTCACCGCTGTAGCTCAAGTAGTTTGGAAATGGCAGCTTTCTAAAGTTTTGCAATCACGTAAGGCATTTACTTTAAGTAGAATTGCGGTAAATGTGAAGACTTGTCACAGATCGGGCAATAAATGAGATAGATGAGTGCGTCAAAGTTCTCTAAGCGTAATTTTGGACAAGGAATCCGATTTTGCTGGTACGAAGACCCTAGGCGAACTCTGAAGTCGGAAAAAAGGCCATTTTCATGTGGTTTGCACGAAAACGTAGTTTTAGAGTACACCTAGGGTCTTCGTACCGGCAAAATCGGATTCCTTGTCCAAAATTACGCTTAGAGAACTTTGACGCACTCATCTATCTCATTTATTACCCGATCTGTGACAAGTCTTCACATTTACCGCAATTCTACTTAAAGTAAATGCCTTACGTGATTACAAAACTTTAGAAAGCTGCCATTTCCAAACTACTTGAGCTACAGCGGTGAAATTTCTCACCACCTCTGACATCACTTGGGACAATATTTAGACTGAATATGGGGCGGAGACGGTCACGCGAAAGGTGGCTTATCTGATCTAAAACTACCCAGAAATGACGGTTTTTCAATTTTTGCAGCGCCACTGCTTTTCACGCGGCGTACACAAACTTTTTATCTCGTAGTATGATAGATTGGTCCTTTATCTATAAAATCCACTCATCGGATTAGCGAAAATCGATGCCGAACACCAAAACCCCAAGAAAAGTAAAAACCACTACAAAACCTGAAAAACAGTCATAACATCTGTTTGGGTTGTCCTATCAACAAACGGGCACCGGATTCGTGTTCCTCGCGTGATTTTACATAGGATACCACATTTTGAGCTCAATCGAGTGCGCCTCAGAGAGGTGATTTTTCAATTTTGGCCATATTATGTGAAAAAATGTCAGAGAAAACGAAAATTGCCCATAGAATCTGAACGGTGCATATTTCGGCCCAAAAAATTTGTGGCCTTTCTTAGACCCACAAGGACTACCTTTGACCAGAAAATGGAGGAAATCGGCATCGGTCGTGTTCCACGATCGGACTTCTTAAAAAAAATGCCTCAAAGCAACCGCACCAGAAAAAACGCAGGCTGATGGGATTTTCCTTTCTGGAAAGCAGCAATGTTTGTTTGTCCCTAGTTGCGGTGACGCCGGCACCGTGCGCTCCGGCAACGTATGATCACCACATCACTGGCGTCACGCAGATGGGCCGCGCACGCACGCCTTTGGCCCTTTGACCCGTCCGTCGGCTACGCGGCCTCGCGGGAAGCGCGTGCGACTCCCGGCCATGCATGACGCCGCCATGGTTGACGTTGAGTACGAGCCGTATCCAGGTACCGGGCCATCAGCGTGATAGTCGGCGGGCAATCGGGACTGATGGCGTCTGCCTTAGGCGGCTCCAAGTTTGGCGCGCCGCGTCGGCCGCGTCGCGTTCCGCTGCACAGTGGGCCAGACGGCCGGTGGAGGCGGACAAAACTCTAGACGCGTTTCGAGCCCCAGAGTCGCTGAATGGGACTCGAACCGAACGTGTGACCCCACCAATGGATTACTCTCCGAACGAGGAATCCATTGGTGGGGTCACACGTTCGGTTCGAGGCCTGTCTAGCGACGCTGCAGCTCCAAACGCGTCTAGAGTTTCGTCCGCCTCCACCGGCCTTCTGGCCCACCGTGCGCTGTTTTGCCGGTGTAGCGACGCGCAGCGGGGCCTTGGGGGCCTTTGCCGGAGGTGCCGCGGAAGGGCAGGGAAGTCGCTGGTTGTCGTTCCGCCCCGCCGCCCCTGCAGTGCAGGGCCTGTGTGCAGCAGCGCGGCCTGGCGGGCCTTTCATCCGCCAGGTGTGTGTTTTGATTTGAAAAGGCGCAATCAATGCCACCCTCGCCATTGTTACTCCCCCCGCCCGGGCCGTTGCTGCCGTGCCGTGCCGTGCCGTGCCGCGCCGCATCGCCTCGACTTGACTGGCTGTCGGCGCGGCCTTCGTTTCGCGGGGAATGCCAATAGGGGCAGGAGGCAGGGCCAGAAGGGCCGGTTTGGCGGTTACGAACTCCCGGGCCCGGTGTCGACGGGATGTTTTACCCCCCGGCTGCCCTTACCCCCGGTACACTGTGCCTAGGCATGTTTTACCCCCCCGGTAAATTGTGCCTAGGCACATTGTACCCCCCACCCTCGAGGGTAGGGGGTACAATGTGCCTAGGCATGTTTTACCCCCCGGTAAAATGTGCCTAGGCACGTTTTACCCCCCACCCTCGAGGGTAGGGGGTACAATGTGCCTAGGCATGTTTTACCCCTCACCCTTTGTCACCGAGCTGTGTGACACAGCCGAGACGAAACTTAAGTGCTGACCCGACCAATAAATGACTGTTAAACCCGTTGACATCAGCTCTGCGGCAAACAGGTGATGGATTCCGAGAGTCGTCGCTCTTTCTTTCCCCCACTAAGAGCGCCCAGACTGCGAGAGACGCGGAGCGCCCGAGGTAAAACGTGCCTAGGCACATTTTACCGGGGGGTAAAACATGCCTAGGCACACTGTCCCCCCTACCCTCGAGAATGGGGGTAAAACATGCCTAGGCACATTTTACCGGGGGGGGGGTAAAACATGCCTAGGCACATTGTACCCCCTACCCTCGAGGGTGGGGGTAAAACATGCCTAGGCACATTTTACCGGGGGGGGGGGTAAAACGTGCCTAGGCACATATTACCGGGGGGTAAAACATGCCTAGGCACATTGTACCCCCTACCCTCGAGGGTGGGGGGTAAAACATGCCTAGGCACATTTTACCGGGGGGGTACCCGTTTAAAAAAGATCGTGCCGAGAATGTGTCGAAATGATGTCGAAATGATGCCGAAGTGTCCGGCATGCCCTGAATGATGCCTAAATGCGCTCGGCAAGCCCGAAATCCACCCGCCGCCGGCACGCGGCAAGCCCGAAATGAGCCCCGCTGTCGCGGGCGGCCCGGAATCGTACCGCGACCCCGACCGCTGCCCGGCCGGGTGGATTTCGGGCGTGCCCGTGCCTTTCGGCATGATTCCGGGCATGCCTGGGCATGCGCCCCGCATCGAGACCCTAATCAAAGAAGTGTCAAGTTAATGTCTTTGACCTGCGCACAAAATTGAAAAGTTAAAATAATGAAATTCTTTCTTAAGTACCAAGTCTATCAAAACCGGCGTGAAAAATTAGAAAATTCCGTGCAAACGAGATGTTTGTAGGACAATTTTGAATTCTTTGACTGAACAAACACTGTTAAAAAAATCAGTTGTAATTTTCATAACATTGGTTGGCATTTTTTTTCACAAACAATTGTTATGAAAATTAAAATCACAAATGATTGTAAATTGTTTTACAATCACGATATGAAAATTCATATCATGTTATGAAAATTAATATTCGCGTTTGCGAGGTCATTTTAGGGCAGTTAAACAAAAGGACAACTAATTGTTCATGTATATGAACACCGATGCGGCCTTTTGCCATTTATTGAACCGATTCTACTTTTGATCAGCGGGTTTCGAACCCGGGATCTTTGACTTGTGGTGCACGCTCTTTACCGCTGTGCTACCACGTCCCACGGGAGGCGGAGGGTCAGCTACCTGATGACTCTACCAGCGCCCCTTGGCCAGGCCCCTTGAGCCAGTTATGAAATTTACAATCGGATTCGGAAAATTACTATTGTGAGCTCAAAATCAACACTTAAGATTCGCAATTTTCAGAACATGGTTTGAAAATTACCAACAATTGTCAATTTTACGAAATTGTTTCGAATTTTCGCATCAAGTTATGAAAATTGCAATGTTTGTAAAATTCATATCCGTGTTCGGAAAATTGTCATCAAAATTGCTTTGAAAATTCATAACTTTTTTAACAGTGAATCTACAATCAAATTGAACACTTTGATACGGGTACTTGAATGAATGCAGTTGAATCCGTTGAGCTTCTGATGCTTAACAGCCTTAGCAGTAACTTTAGCTTGCATCCTAAAGAAAAGGTCTATAGGGCTCTCAATAAAATGAGCCGCGGGGCAAGGGTACTTCGTGGATTATAAGGAAGCGAAGAACCGGGTTTGCGTGTAAGAGCCAGCACCCCAATAACCGGGTTTGGGAGCCTCAGACCTGGGTTTCCAGTGGGCCTGGATCCGCGGGTTGACTAGTCCACACGCAGTGCTCCAGTACCTACGCTCACGTTCACTAAGTCTGTTGTTAGATCCAAGTGCCCAGCTCAACCCACGCACCCTGTCCAAAAGTCGAGGGGCTCTCCGCGACTAACCCAAGAGTCTCGCGGGGGTTACGTATTCGTCAAGACACAGGGCTCGCCGCGTGCTCCTCCGCCAGCAGCGTGTCTCCCCCGCCCCCTCCAGTGCCGCTCGGGGTCGAGCGAGCTCGCTGGAAGGCATCGGGAGCCTGAGGCCTCCTCCCCAGGTCTCCTCCGTGGTGCAGTTGGCAGCGTCTCGGTCCACAAAGACGGTCGTCCTGGGTTCCAATACTAACCAGTGTTTCTCCTTCAGCGTTCTGTGTACGTGTGTGTGTATGTGAGTGTGTAAATGTGAGCCTGTGTGTGTACGAGTGTGCCTGTGTGTGAGACTGAATGGGCACCGCCATCCAGGTACCTCCCCCTCCCCTGCAGCTTAATGGGAGGGACGGTTCGGCACGTTTTCGGCATGCCCGGCAAGCGTCCGGCATTGCCGAAAATCGGTTTGTTTTCCAACAAAATGATCATTTTTCGGCAAGCCCGGACTCCTGGTGCGGGGCGGATTTCGGGCGTGCCGGCCGGGCATGCCCGAAATCCTGCCGTCATCCGGCACGATTTCGGGCAAGATCATTTTTAAACGGGTAAAACATGCCTAGGTATGATGTACCGGGGGTAAAAAGCTCCAGGGGGGTATAACATACCGGTTACACCGGAACACGGGGCATGACTCCTGCCTTTCATGGAGGCGCCGCCGGGCAGAGCCCCCGGTAGAGCCAGGGCGCGGCGGCGCGGCATTCCGCGTGGACCTGGCCCGCCTGACCGCCACACCGACCTCGCCAACGTCCCTGCTGCGCAGTGCCGAAAGTTTCACCTTCTTTTGTTTTCGAAACAAAGCGAGGAAAAGTTGTTGGCGGCGGGTACGGCTGTGTAGGCGCAGCGTGCATCGCGATGGCCTTGCCAGGTGCGAGGCAGCGCGACAATGACGTGACGCGTCGGCCTGGTTTGGCCGTGACGGGGCGTCATGGGACGGCAGCGGCGCGTCAATGATTGTGACGGGCTGAATTGCGTTAGCGCCGTCAGTGGACCAATATGAGTCGAACAGCAGCCTAGCGGCGTGCTGCGTACGTCCCTGTGGCGAGCAACGTGTGCAGCATTCCCCCAAAGAACAGAAAAAGGTCACGATGATGTCAAATGATTAGTGACAAGATGACATCATTGCCGACGGTCAAAGTTAGCGATTTTTGACGTCAAGTGCATGTCAATTGATATCCTTTTATTGAATATGATATCTTATGATGTAAATTTGACACAAAATACCGAGTCAAATTCTAGTCATGAGGGGTCACTGATGCAGAGCGTGACTAAATTTTATCAATTTTAGCTCACTTGACGTCAATATGACCTTTTTCTGTTCTCTGGGCCGGACTTTTTGTCGAGAAAAACAACGAGACTTGCTTTCCGGCTCAAAGGGCAAAAACTACACTCGACCGAACTGCGCGCACGCCCACATCGCTCGTTATCCTGCCGGAATTAATTTTCGCCCTCTCTTTGCTCTTTCTTTTTCGTAATAACGCCGTTTTTTCCTGTTTCCAGGTGAGTTGGCCTATCGCTCGGCGGATGATCCCACGCCTTTTTGCCCCGGCCGCGCCGCTTTTTTCCGACGACACCGGTAGGGCGGCGGCCTGCCCGCCAGGCGGTTTATCGTGACGTCGAAATTTGTCGCCGCGCCACTGCGGGTCGGAGGCGGGCTGGAGGCGGGCTGGAGGCGGGCTGGAGGCGGGCTGGAGGCGGGCTGGAGGTGGGCTGGAGGCGGGCTGGAGGCGGGCTGGAGGCGGGCTGGAGGCGGGCTGGAGGCGGGCTGGGGCGGGCTGGAGGCGGGCTGGAGGCGGGCTGGAGGCGGGCTGGAGGCGGGCTGGAGGCGGGCTGGAGGCGGGCTGGAGGCGGGCTGGAGGCGGGCTGGAGGCGGGCTGGAGGCGGGCTGGAGGCGGGCTGGAGGCGGGCTGGAGGCGGGCTGGAGGCGGGCTGGAGGCGGGCTGGAGGCGGGCGGCACGGAGGGACGAGGGGTTCCGCCGTGGTTCCGCAGCT